TTAAACAAGTAATTAACTTAAATAATGGTAAACCCCATCACAAGAAATCGAGCACAACATTGATATTTAGTTTTTGACTAGAAATATCAACTTATAAGTGGTACTCTTTATGTAATAATCAAATATTGACAATAAATCATGTCAAACATTTAGTCTATCTTTAGATCGACTTACTATTCACGTAAAAAGATACTTTATAATTGTCACATATTTATTATCACGGGCGTGCAAATAATTTAGCTAAATATTGATCTTCCATTGGACTGATCAATACTCACATGAATTACGTACACACAACATTCATATCCCAAATAAATTAATTTAGAGGATAGAGCCTAGACGCGGCGTTGCAGCGCTCTGGCCGCCCCTGTTCATCCTTATTTCAAAAATTTCCCAAAAAATTCGAGTATGAAGTTCACATCCTAAAATTGAGGAATCCAAAGTATGAAGTTCAAACAAAAATTCTTGCTTGTTTTAAAAAATTTTAATTTTGAAATTTATGGTTGAAATTCACGTTCCAAATTAAAGAATTCTAAAATTCAATGTATGAATTTCAACCATAGAATTCATTCTTGAATCTCAATGGTTTAACATGGAGTTGGTTTTGATACCGTTTGTTAGATTTTTATAAAACTTTAAATTTCAAGAATTTGAAAACTTAATTGTTTTATTACCAAAATCCTCCGTATTAAATCACGAAAAGAATTATTAAATGCGGAACATACCTTAATTTATTGTGAATGATTTTTTAGTACTTGGTCTTAATTTCGAATCTTGAATATTGGTTTTTTTGGTTCATGAGTTCTTATTCCTGATTTCGACTTCGTGCTTCATAATTTTGATTGTCTCAATTCCTTCTTCTTGATTCTTGATTGTAGATTACCCGTTTTTTATTGTGAATTTTGGATCTTTCTTTTCAATATGTTTTCTCTTGTACTCTTGTATTGATGTGATTGTACAAAAAATGAGAAAATTATGTATGAATTTCGGATCGTAACTCTATTTATAGTTTTCATGTGTGTTAGGCACATCGTTAAATATCTCTACACATATAATCGTGCTCAGACTTTATTTAAATACCCAAAGTCCAATTACTTAATTTTTGATTAAACCACTTTAATTTTGGACTTAACTTTAAAATAACATTTATACACAATTAATTATACCGACACACAACAAATTGATATTTTTCCCAACATATTATACTCTTCTTAGAACCAGGAGAATGTGAAAATAAAAACTAGAACTATAATATAAATTATTCAAAAAGAGAATAATATTAATTAATTCTATATATGGCTTGCTACCAAACTTTATATTAATAAAATCCATAGCTCCACTATATATTTGTGTGTCCGTTCATCTTCGAGCAACAGACCAGCCATTCACTTGATTCTTATTCTCCCTTTATTTATCTTAAATCGAACAATATTGATAATGTCTGGTGTTTGGGTGTTCAAGAATGGTGTTCTCCGGCTAGTCGAAAATCCAGGTGAGAGCCATGGCTCGAAAGCTCGCCGGAAAGTGCTAGTCCATGTCCCCTCTAATGAAGTTATTACATCATATGATGTCCTCGGTAGGATATTATCGTCGCTCGGGTGGGAGAGATACTATGATGATCCAAACCTTCTTCAGTTCCATAAGACGTCTACAGTTCATCTAATCTCTCTGCCAAAGAATTTCAACAAGTTCAAGTCCATGCACATGTACGATATCGTTGTTAAGAATCGTAATGAGTTTGAAGTTAGAGATGTTCAATAAGTGTGCTGCTAGTTATGTTTTCTTGACACTGAGTTTGATGTTCTCTTTCATGGGGTTTGCTACTGTTTTATGTGAACATGGGATTCGGCTTGTACTTTAATACACCAATAGAACAAAGGTTTGTTTATTTTGTGCATCATACATTATATGCTTGTCTCCTAGCGTGTAGTACTGGATGTTCCAACTTTTTTTCTAGTTTAAATCATTCCATACTATTCAATCACCAAATTTTAGCTCAGATTGGTTTAGTTAAAAATCATAGTTAGTAGATTTTAACAAAAATGATAAAATACGTGATTGAAAAGTTAATAAAAATTACTAGTCCCATAAAATGTGTAGTTTAAAAATAAATTTGAGGAAAAATGAGTTTTAGAATATGGGAACCAAATATGGTCTATTTGGCACAGCTTTTGAAAAATCAAACTCAAATGCGACTATTAGACCCTTTTGACTTATCTTAGTATTTTTGGTGGTTAAAAAAGTTTTTAGAAGAATTTTAATGACTTTATCTAAAAGTACTTTTGGAATACGAAGTGTTTTTAAAAATTAATTTTCAAATAAAAATTAAGGAGATTTCCTCCAAAAGTTCTACTACAAGAGGTAAAAGTTATGTCAAAAGAAGTCTTAATATTGTTATGCCTATAGGAAATTTTCAAATAGCTAGAAATTATTTGTGATGGATGTAATTCACCGAAGTTTGAAACTTACACAAAAAATCAATATTCCACTTTATTGGTGTTCCGACGGTAATTTTGCCTTTCCCGTCGTTATTTAGCCCCTTGTTTGACACCCATTTTGGAAAAAAAAAAAAAAATTCTGGAATAGTGATTAATGGAAGAATATGTGGTTAAAAAGTAATGAGAATTTTTAGGTTTATGTGTAGTATTATTTATTGATAGAATGTAGTTGAAATGAAGAAAAAAGAAAAAAAAAATGAGAATGAGAATGAGAAGAAAATTGGTGTCAAACAGGGGCTAATGAACGGATAAGAGTTCGACCAAGCACCTACATCGGTACGTGGCTTGATGTCAAAATAAAATATATGACGGCTTGGAAAGTGTAATTAATTAAAATATAAATTTGCTTAACTCTAAAATCAACTTTAATTATCGTGCATCTATGATTCCTACAACTTAATGGAGAAAATTCCTATTTTGTTTACTAGTCTTAAGAACTCATAAAGCATCTTCAAATTGCAAAGGACGAGCAATAATATGACATTGTAGGTGAAAAGGACGTATTATACTATTTGTATAGGAAAAGAAACATATCAATTCTAGTTTCATAGTGCTTTTTCATTTCAAAAATAAAATATTCTTATTATTATATCACTCCCTCTTTCTTAGAACTTGTTTGATCGTACGTTCACTATCAATCCATTATTCCAAAATGTATTTTACACAAAAAAGAAATATGACTCAAACAGATCCTTAATGTAGACTGAACTAGTGACAAAAGGTGTAATGAATCGTATATGTATTCTCAATAGAGGCGATGAAGAAAGAGCACTAATTGCAAGTGTGCTAACTTTAAAAATTTGTCATTGTTTTGAGTTTTATTTCTATTAGCACATATTTTTCGAATACTTCATGATTTATCGAAATTTAAGTTGTGGGTGGGCATACTTCATTAAATAATTAATATCTTATTTATATACTTGAAAATTAGGCAGTGATGAGTTAATTAATTGAATCACGGCAGATTCTAAATGGACGTCCTTCAAAACAGCCCTTTTTTGGCAAAGATGCTTCAAAAGTGTTGCTCATTTCCCACCCAAGAAAGAAATATTGTTAAAAAGATCATTTCTCTTTGTGTTTCAGTTTTGTATTTTGAGTTTTGAATTCATTTTGGATTTTGTGTTTTGAGTGTCCATTTTGAGATTGTTGAAAATGTGTTCTTTTTGACATTTTGAAATATTCTTTTAAAAACACCCGAAATGCGTTTTGAAAATCTTGGCTTGATTATAACTGAAAATATCTAAAATGACAAAATTGTTGTTTTGGGTTTTCTTTGTAAATTTGTAACTTGTTTTCAAAAACGCGTTTTCGAAAATAGGAAAGAGAACGCGTTTTCACTGTTTTGAAAAATCCAAAACAGAAAATGGTTTGAAAATGATAAAGAGAACAGACCCTAAAACTTCTCTCAAAAATTATGATTTTTGTGGAACGGCAACTTTCTCGTACGGGACTGAACACAAAATAAAATGGTTTTAATAGAGCACATCAAAGGCAACCAGACACTCGTGAACTTCTTTTGTCAAACTCCAAAGGTTCTCTCTTGTCGGCATTTTGCTTCGTTCTCCTCTTGAGAAGTAAAAAGATTTACACTTGCTCGAAAAAAAGGGGCATTATAAATGTATATTTATTCATCCACTCATATAGATATAGTCTATATAATAACTCAATTGCATTTTATATTTATTATCACTTTGAACACCATCTCTTTATAAGTCAATTTTAAAATGAATTCTATTTATCCACGATCAAAGAGATAGGTACGATAAATGCAAATAAATGAGGCACATTATAGTTTTTTAACTTGCAATAAGTCTAAGGTCGGAACTAACTAGTTGTCCTATCCATCTATCCACTTCTCCAAGTACAGTATCTCAAATACCTATGATGGTTACCTCATGTGCTTGCACATAATGTTTAGACAGAATTGAGTCTCTGTGAATGGGAAGTGGTTTTTACTTTTAATATGAAAGCAAGCACCCCCAATCTTGGAAAACCCATTGCAGATAGGACGACTTGAGAATGATTTGCTTTCAGTAGAAAATTAGTTATGTGAACTCATTCAATTAGAAAATAGTTCATCTTAGATGTCAATTCTAAAGAGAAGTGGATGAGATTACTCTAATTATATGTTCCACCGCCCTTTGAACAAGAGTAATACTATTTATAGTGAAGACTACTGGTAGTCACCTTACTTGGCGTACACATACATCAAATAACCACGTAAGACGACTACCGATAGTTTCACTATAAATAACATTAACAATGCTTTACAGGTTTGGAACCTGTTTAGATTCTATTTATAAGATAATTATAAGGGTAAATTCTATGTGATTAATATAATCTCCTTAAGAGTATCTCCACATGGAAGAAGGAAAAAAAATCTCTTTAAAATTGAAGTGTTCCTCATTTTTAAAGAGTCGAAACTTGAAATTAAACTCCAAAAGACTAACCCCTGTTCGACAACCATTATTTGAAATTGTTTTTTACATACTCATTTTCAATCACATTCATGCAATAAAATATTCGGTACGTAAATCCAAAATTTTTCCATATTTTTTAACTACACATTTTCCTAAAAATCACTATTCAAAATATAATTTTAATTTAATGAAGGTCAAACAATGACTAAATGAATAATGTTATTCAGTACCATTAATGCTAAGCACCATTTAATAAAATTACGAGTTCCAATACTTCACATGTGCGCGTGTTAAAAATGAGGGAAAACAATAAACGATGGTTAGAAAAGTAAAATAAAACATACATTGAATTATACCGGATCAGACCCAATCGAAAACTCTAGATGACACAACACAGACCAATAGAATTCCTCCCAGCATTTTTGACCTGCACTCCATGGGATAGTTACCCAAAATTAACTTTATGATGTAAAGAAGTAGCTTGAATTGGTCACTTCGGCATTCTTTTCTTCTTTTTTTCATTTTTCACACAAATGCCTGTTTTTCCCTTCCGAAGTTACAATCAGTTCTATGCATCCAGCGTCGTAAAAATTGGAAAGTAAACCAAAAATGCCAATGGATGCTGCTATAAATTGATAATGAAATAAACAAACAAAAGACAAAAATATCGAGATTTATGTGAAAATCCAAGAAGGAAAAAAAAAAACCACGTGCAGAAGAAGATAAATTCACTAAAATCCATAGTAATTATGTTTATAATATCAAGATTTCAATACTCCTAGTTGAAATTAGTCACAGCTAAACGTGTGTTGCACGTTATTTTGAAATACTTTATAAACACTGTAAAAATGATATTTGAAAATCAGTTAATCTAAAAAATAGTTTAAAAAACTGTTTATGTGAAATGAACTTTTTATACAATTCAATTATTTTTTTACGTGTGTGATAATAATTAACATTAATTTATATATATCATACTATAATTCAATCAATTAATTCCTCAAGTTCATGCACGTACACTTTCTATATTTTGGGAGCTGTTCAATTACTCAAGAAATGCTGCAATTCAATTATTTATGTATGTGCATGTATACTAATTATTTATGGATATATAAAATATAACAT